GAACGAACGAACGAACGAACGAACGAACGAACGTAAAGACTGATGGGTGGAAAAAAATCAAAGAGGATTTTAGCCATTTGAATAGATTGAAATACTCGAACAAGAGGGGAACTCAGAATAATATGAATAATGGAAACAAAATAAAAACAACAAAAACAAAACCCACAAACAGAAAAGTACTGCAAACAAGCCAACAACAATACAAACAATACTACTTACCCTATCGCCCTTAAATCCCTGAAAAAGAAAATAAGAAACAAAGAAAACATGAATAAATTTGAACAAAAAATTGCGAAAGGAAAGGCATACATTGCAATGAATAAAATACCCCAGATGATGCGAGAAAAAATGTTAGTTGATTAAAATATATCGAGTTCTTAGTTTAGCAATGACGTCATGTCTACGTCACTAATATTGCAATGATCAGCTGGCAGGCTTCTAAGAGCAATCTTATGTACTAGTAACTCTTGTGCATTGGTTTTCATACTTACGGCATATCCAGCTCTTCCCTGTAAAAATGCCAACAAAGAAAACAAGTAATTAGCAGTCTTTTAAGATACGGGCTTTTTCGCGTCGCGGGATTCCTGTGGTTTAGTTGTCAGATCCGCCGTGATCGAGCCTTGTCAAGAATGGAATTGTTTTCTTTTCCGAGAAAACTTTGCAATGTGACAAACGAATTGCTAGTTTTTAATTATTCCCAAGATAATGAAATAAAGAGAGACACGGCGGCCATGTTGGATATGACAAAAGAGACTAATGATGAATCTTTAGTGTTTAATTCATCCAACATGGCGGCTGTGAAAACCATCCATTTAATCCCAAATATTAAAGTGTCAGCGGTTTGGATCACCATTTGTCTATTAACTTCGCTGGACTGCAGGCTCAACCCTAATAACAGCTAACGATCTGATTGGCTTTGGCGTATACATCTATTTGAAAAAAGGTTGACGAAGGTTTTCTTTCATGTTGCATGTTGTATACCAAGGCCGAAAGGCACTATGGGTGATGTGAATACCATCAGTGAAAGGTCACAACGATATGGAAACTATACAAACTTTGTCTGCATGTTTGACCTGGCATATTTTTTCGTGCTAACAATATATCCGTATGAATAAACACATTTGATCAAGCTTATTAATTCACATGCAATAAAACCTTTACCACCCTCTTTTGAAATAGCGGTATACAACCACGCTGTCCAGGGTTTGATTAAGTGAAGACAAACAACACTTACCCTTGGTCCTGCGGGTCCATCTGGTCCGATTGGACCGATTGGTCCCACTTCGCCCTGAGAAACATCAGAGAAAGAGAGTCAGCAACGTAATCTGGTGTACCCGAGTGAACGAGACTTGCGTAAGTTATCCAATTTTAAGGCAGCCCGAGTAACCTTGAAACAAAATCAGTATTCTCGTACCTTGTCTCCTTTTGGTCCAGGATGGCCGAGTAGACCCTGGGGACCTTGGTCTCCCTGGAAACAAAAATTAAAAAATAAATTTATTATTATTATTGAATATTCCTATTCTTATTACGTTACTCGACTATCCATCATTCCTAAATTATTATTTTTGGGTGGCTACTGCCTCGTAGAGACGATGACACTGTTATCGGGTTCTAAGTCCGTCAGTAACACCACAGGAAGCCCAGCATTTGCAGTTTAATGAGCTCTTGCAATTCCTATCGGTCTCAGATCAACCATTTCCCAATTTCTAGGTTAATTGAAATAATTATCAATGACGTCTTTTCCAATGTTTTCAACAAGATTTTGTTTGTGAAAGTGTCCATATAATAAAGAGAGAATTACACGTTGGCTTGATGATTACCTTCTGGCGTTGAAAAATATTTCACCATTCGAAGATAATTTTATAATATAATATCCTCTTTTTAAGACCCAACCACGCCCTATTTCTGTCCCGAATTTTGAATTTAGCACTGATACTAACAGGGTAGAGTGGGGCTAAATCCAAAACCCGGGACAGAATTTCCCTCGAAATTCAAACCCTCCATCAAACATTAAAAATAGGGCTTGGTTGTTTTTTAAACCAATTAAAACGCTAGGGCGAGGGTTTGCATTGAAATTCAAGACCGAGGGACGCAGTGCTTATTTAGCTGAGTTGCTTTATGCAAGGAAGCGATTCTTGCTCATGTACTTACCTTTTCTCCTTGAGGTCCAGCAGGACCTGTTGGTCCAATAAAACCAGGCCAACCCTAACAACAACAAGGACAACACTTTATATTAGTTCTCATGTTATCACTAATGACATATCTTGAATAACATATTACATTCGTGTGTGTATATAATCCACATCATTGAAAATACAGCCAATCAGAATGAAGGGAAGCCATTCTATAGTCCGTTGCATTCCAAGGTTTCACCCTATCAGGCATTGCGGCCGAGGAATTTTAATTTTTACAACTGTGTGTGATAAAATAGTTATACTAAGCTAAGGCAGCGGAGTACTTTACATAGTTGATCGTATCCTGGGTATTTGGAGAGTGTTTGCATACAGACAAGTGCACGAAGAGCGCTTTCTTAGGTAACTTAAAGCAATGTTCAAGAGCTTTGTTCTTGTGCTTCTTCATGGTTAGAATACTATAATCGGTTTATTGCTTCAAGTTTATCATTATCATATATTCTAATTCAACTGTATTATTTATATAAATGATCATTGTAAGTTAGCAACATCTGGTTTTTATATTGTAAAACGCATGAGGGCATCTCCCTATGGTTCATGCGCTATAGACCCCTTGCAGCACTYTGGAATGCAGCTCAATCTGAAGGACAAAACAATAGGTTCCGATTCTCAGGAGATTAGAATTCTTTTGTTCTGTCTCCCAGTTCGAGCTGCTTTGACGTCACATGCAAGGGGTCTATATAAGAATTAATTTATTATCATTATTATTAGCTGCAATACTGACTGTTTACCCAGAACACACCCTAGTGTTAGCTTTGATAATTGAGCCTCTTCAACCCGACAGCCTTTTTTTWAATCTGGCATACATACCAGGTAGGTTTTCCCTACTTTACCTTATCTCCCTTTTCTCCTGCATCTCCTTTATCACCCTTGTCTCCCTTTGCTCCCTATCAAACAGACATGAAAACAATCAATCATGAATCAAACATACTTTCGGGCCAAATTAGGTTTATTGTCCTACTTTCGGGCCAAATTAGGTTTATTGTCCTACTACTTTCGGGCCAAATTAGGTTTATTGTCCTACTTTCGGGCCAAATTAGGTTTATTGTCCTGATTTGTTGGGATTTTGGGTCACGTGGTTGTACCCCAAGAATACCCAAATGAGTACGACATTAGGATCGTTAGTGAAAAGGTTTAACCCCCCCTCCCCCCCTAAATGTTCAAGATCCAATCAGCATTTAAGTAATATTTCTTGTTGCCACTGCTAGCTAAACTTAGGCCTTGAGAACAAGTATTTAACAAGAGATACACGAGAAAGAACAAAACAACTAAAAGAGGTTTTGCAGGTGCACACGGACGGCAGAACAATAAAATTCCTTTGCTCTTGGAAATTGAATTCTTTCTCATGTAAAACGATTGTATTCAGGTTCCTGCCATCTAACATATATGGTTGCCGTCACGTGGTGGTGCAAAACCTCAGGCCACAGGGAGCCCAACAATAGAAATAGCATTAGCAGTAAGTAGTATCTTACTGTTGGTCCTCGTGCGCCAGGTGGTCCAGTAATACCTTGCGGTCCCACGTCACCCTAAAATGATAAAACACGTTATAAATCACTTAAGCGCATTGAATTAGCATAGCACGGGGTAGCACAGGTTGTCACGAGGGCATAACGAACCAAAACCGTCCTAAAGTACAAAAAACAAACCTTGATTTCTTTCAAAAAAAATGACATTTGATTTTCTGAGTTATGCATCCTTTAAACAAAACAAAATGCGTAAACGAAAGCAAGACGCGCAGATAAAAGCTAGAGTACCATCCTCGCGTAGTGCTTCTCCTAACACTTCTCTCGTGCTCTTCCGATCCCTGCCTGCTTTATAACTGCACACAGCACGCGCGCGCGTTTTCATTTTATTGCTGGATTTCGCATGACGTCATTTCCTGTCTCGTGCGGAATGTTCATCAGCTGAATCGCAAGTTTTCAATATAATTTTTTCTGGCTGATAGCACAAGGTGTTCAGTGTTTGATCAGTGCAGATAATGAGATTCAAAGACTTTTATCAGCTGAGTGAAAGCCAGCAATTTGACTGACCGGTGCACCAGTAGCTCCTCGTTCTCCAGGTAGTCCACGAAGGCCACGAGGTCCCTAAAAATACACAAAAAATGGTTATAATTGATAAAATAAAGGTCATTGGACCTTTATATTATCATCAGTCTTGTATTGAAACATTTGTTATTCATCATTGAAAAAATTTCAATTTTTAAAAAAAGAAACACATTCCTAAAAAGATTCAAAAAAAGATACGTTTTCATTTTGTCTTACCTGAGCTCCGGGGGGTCCCACTGGTCCTACAGGGCCTGGTGGACCAGTATCTCCCTATGACGAGAAAAAACATTTCTGTTAATGGACAACCAAGAAAAACTAAGTAAGACGATTAAATATATGGAATTATTGGGAAACATTTGAAATTTCTAAAGGCTACCCATTCTCCCTTAAAAAATCATGATTCAGACCCCCTAGTTACCGTTGCTATGTCCCACAAACCCAACAAAATAGCTAGAGAATCTCAGAATTTGATCACTCTGATCGCGTAAAGTTGAACTCTTCAAAACAGATACTGTGTAGGTCTTTGTGGGACAAGATTTTAATTCCACTGGGAAAACTGCTGCAACGGTGATTGGTTTGCAAATTGTCCAATACGGTATTTGATGTTCCAATGACGCAATAATATATATTACACATTAACATTTTGTCTTCTTTAATCTGGAACTATTCTATTGCCTTCAATCTCTTTTATCTAAAGTTAGCTGCAGGTATGAGGTTATGTTTGACAATACAAGATCAAGACTAGTAAGCAAGCATCAATATCTATCCATTGACGTCATACTACGTCATACCTTGTCACCAGGTTCTCCATCTTTACCGGGGTATCCCTTAGGACCGGCTTCGCCCTATGGATTACAAAAATCAGGTCACGTCAAGTTTTTAATATTTTGTAATAAAAATTATCAACAAACTTCATATAGACAATATCTCATGGGCTTCCTGTGTCAGGATGATCACGTGACTTACAGGTTGTCCGGCGGGCCCAGGTGGGCCATCATCACCACGTCCTCCTGGTGCGCCCTGTTGGTAAAATAAGAACAAATGTTATATTTTTGTTTACCAAATATATTCAAATTATAGAGCTTCAAAGTTGTGACGTATTTCCGGGTCCAAATTATCGCAGGGGAAAAAATATTAAAATAGAGAAAAAAGTGTTTTCAATGATTTAACCTCCGCCTGAAACAATAAGAACTTTGGACAAAAACTCCTGTCATGAAGAAAAAGTAAGAAAAATCTTTATATAACTGCTTTTCGTTTTGGACCGGAAGTCGTTTTTGCGTGCGATTGATGTCTTATTTAAAAAACTCTCAAGTGATCAGGTAACCACGTGATACTCACAATAGGTCCAGGTTTGCCAGGTGCTCCATCTTCACCGTCTTGTCCTCGACTACCCTGAAGAGATAATAACTCGTTGTAAGTTATAAAGAACTGGTCACTCTGTGCTTTAACAGGTGATGCGTACCTTTTGTCCTTGCTTTCCTTGGGGACCAACAGGTCCAACTGGTCCGGGGGGACCCTAAAATGAATAAAATAATTAATATTAGGCATATTCAAAAGTTTGTCACAAGTTGCTTTGTGTCACCAGCCAATCGATCTCTAGTTGACACATGAATAAGAAAGTCTTATGTCACACGAAATCGTTATCAATTATCTACGACTAATGGCGAATAAAAATAAACTTAAAGATACGAATTCTAGTAAAAAGTGACACCCAAAGTATCCCATGATGCATTATAATTTGCACTCCCCCTCTCCACAAATTCAGCACCTCCAGACATGATACTGATTGGGCATAATTCGATTATATATCTATTAATCATTATGTATTGGATATATAAAACTAGAACTTACGATTGGTCCGGTGTCTCCGGTAGGTCCTGGTGGCCCGCGGGCACCCTGTGCTCCCTATTCAAGCACAAAAAGTAAAATCATAATTAGATTGGAGAATGAAGGTTTTTTTGGCGATTAATCGAATAGATATTCATGACCAGCGGTACGTACTTGTGGACCAGGATCTCCACGGCTCCCCTTTTGTCCAGCCTCTCCCGGTCGGCCCTAGAGGGAAAAAGATAATAGAAACTCAACGTTATTCTATACTAGGATGATTATCAGCACTTAATAATATCTATAGACATTAGACTAGTAGTTGTCGTAATCTTACAGGCATTCCAGGTAATCCAGGTGTGCCTGGGCTTCCTTTCGGTCCGCGGTCACCCTGTGGAATAGCAATAAATAAAACAATTCACAAGTTAAGTTTGAATTCTTGCTGCAGTTTAAAACGTAAGGTATTTATTTATGAATTTTGTTACCATTGGGACTCTGTACACTGTTAAAAAGATGATGTTGTTGCAGTCTGTGAGGTAGGTGGAGACGTTGACAGAAACAAGCGACTTGGTACTAATGTATCGCTTGGGGACTGGTAGAAGAGGACTGCGATCTAAAACATTATAGTTCTTTATCTATTCGAATATTTTATTTTTAAGAAGAAGAAGTACTGAGGGGTAAAAACTGTAACGTAATCTGAGTAGGTATAAGTTTCAGGTTCATATCCAGGTTCTAACTAATCGATGTACTAATAACCCTTCCAAACCTGGCTTGACTCACTTGACTCACTCTCTCGAAAGCCCATCTTTTTCACAATGAGCCTCGGTTCCAAGAAAATAGCACAACAATGCCCAAGATAGATTCGATTCGATTATTTTGTATTTGAAATCGACATGCGTGGCAAATAGTGCAAGGGATTAGATGTGGATATGGTTTGGAAGCCGCACGTCGGCTAGAATATTATTCTTCGTTTAAGGGCAGAATGACTTTATTGCCGTCTGCAGATGTTTCGGGAGTAAAAATTAATTTGGTACACGCGAGTTGGAGTTCCTCCGTATCTAGTTAAGATCTATTTACTTCTTTAACTAGTTAATCTTTAAAAAATCTTTAAGAAGATTGACATAACTCTGAAATAGTCTAATAAGTGTCTAATAAATGTCTAATAAATGTAACATTTGACTCACCTTTTCTCCTGGTCGACCGTTTGCTCCAGGATCACCATTCTCACCCTGATCACCCTATAGTCACATTACAATAGATATTAGAATATCATCACAATTAGCGCCATCCATTATAGATAGTGAAGCACTGGTCGTAAGAGTCTGATGCACACCTTTTTACAGCTTATTCCTAATACAGGTCATAACGATAGAAGTTTATGATATTTCAATCATTAGCAATAACTCCCATCATTTTGTCCTCCAAATTATATTGCACTTGGGCAAGAGAAAATGAACTAAGAGAAGGAATCTCTGGTATTGATGCTTGTAAACATCATAGGCACCGTTTGATGCTATTCTTAGATTCACATTTGCCATAGTTTGTTTTTTGTGCACGCGCGCTCTACGCTGTTTGCTTACGTTGTTTTTAAAAACAAAAGAAAACATGAGCAAACAGAGCAGAGCACGCAGTATGCGCCTGCAGAAAAACAAACGATCAAATAAATGATTTTAAAAATAGCATCAGAGAGCTCTCATGATGGGGAGCGGGGATTCCTTCTCTTAGATGGATAGAGAGACTCTGCATTCGAGCAGATTTCGTACGATATCTTAGTTTTCTTAAGTTTACGCAGAACCACATTTTATACAGCACCGCAACTATGGCTTCCTGTAAGTCGATATCACTTATATTAGGGATAATTATATAATAAATATTAAATCTTTAATAAATGAGATACCTTAGATCCTGCTGGTCCTCTTCCTCCACGTGCTCCTGTTGGTCCTGCAGCACCCTGACAGAAAAAGATTATCTGTTAGTATACTGACCTCTTATAGGTTGTTTGGAACCATTCTAATGAAAATCTTGAGGGGAAAACATGGCGGCCGTGTTGGTAGAAAATCTTTTGGATACAACCAGCATGGCGGCGATTACGTCAAGTGTAAATAAGTAGTACTCTAATGAAAAGCTGAAGACCCGAAACAGCACTTTTCATCGGTGTGGGCGTGATCTGATAGGTGCTTACCGCTGGTCCACTTGCCCCACGCTCTCCTTTCTGTCCACGAGGACCAGGCACTCCCTGGAATAGACGAGGAACAAAATACTTAGAATAGAATCCATTGGTGGTACTAATTTATTTTCATTATTGGGTCGAGTTCTAAGGTTACATAACTGATTCCCATGTGTGGCATCACATGGTCTGAAATGTGCACAACAAACAACGACGCTAAAAACGTCAATATCCCGACTTAATTGTGTTGTATGTAAAATACATACGGGAACTCCAGGTTGTCCTTGAGGTCCGGGGGATCCACGAGGTCCATCAGGGCCCTTCTCACCACGTGGTCCAACAGGTCCTTGGATTCCTTGTTCTCCAGGAGGTCCCTTTTAAAACAGCATGTCAAATGTTTTAAAATTTTGTTTCATTTAAGGAATAGTAGCAAACAATAATTCCTAACAAATAATTTCCACCACATCACTTAACGATTGAGGACAAGTTTAAGGTCATAAGCGAGTAAAATTGGATTTGGAATTGACTAAGAAAATGGGATTAAAAAATAGTTTTGGGAAATGGGATATGCTTTCATTTAGCATAACAGTCCATAAAGATGCACAATACATGTTCAGCCGAGTTGATATTTCGCGAAGTTATCAATAATATAAATACGTGGAGAGCTATATAATACGTGTTAAGCACGCAGGGCTCGAACCACAGATAACGAGACGAACGAAAAAAAAAAGCCCCGACCCGACCAATACTCAGGGTCTGAGGGGAAAGTGCTGCCTCTGTAATTACATCTATAAATGGTTAGACTTGGATGACCATGTAATTACATCTATAAATGGTTAGTGGCTCGGATGACCACTTTAAATGGCGGCCCCGTCTCTCCACACTTCATCATTACAAAAGTTCAAAAAATGATATTTCATCTCGCAAAGAATAAAGGGTTTTATTTTCTGTTAACATCTTCAAATACATTAATTGCCAAAAGACGACAACATCTCGTGGGGACATACGAGAATACTTACCACGGGGCCAGATTTGCCAGGATTTCCAACGGGACCAGATGGTCCAGGAGGTCCCTATGAAAAACGATAAGCAAGACTAAGTTGAAACGTCGAACTTCACAATCGTTTGAATACAATTCCCATCAAAGTTGAAAAATTAGCTGGACCTGTGTCTGAGCTATTGTTGATCGTTTTGTTTCTATGGACATACCTTTGGTCCTCTGTCTCCTTTCTTGCCCGATAAGCCTTGAGGTCCTTGCGCACCCTAAATAAAATATAATTATAAATATAATTTCAATTTACGCGAGTGCGCACTCCACTCTCCCTATTAGTACTGCGCTTAAGAGTACTTAAAGCTGAAGTGTGTGAGATGACTGAAAATTTAAACCCACTTACTACACTTGGATAGGATACTACATCCATCCACACGGTCCCTCCCCCTTAAATATTGAATGTGTGCATTATACTGACTTGATATAAACACGCTGGGAGCTGTATAACTCACATGTTAAGCACGCAGGGCTAGAACCACCTACCACGAGTAGAACTCAACATTCAGGGTTCGTGCTGAGGTAACCACTTAAAATTCAAGGACTATTCAAGGAGTATACAAGGACCCAAAAATGAAATTTATGGAAGTATGTTCAGCTAACTATGCCAAGGTTTTACACGGTGGTTGCACATGGCCGAATTTCAGATTTTCCGATCTTTCTGACTAGATCTATTTCAGAACCATGCAAGTAATGATCAAAGCAAAAATTCAAGGAGTTTTCAAGGAGTTTAAGGAGTAGCACGATCCCTGGACATTTGTGAGATGACGACATATTAGGAGCGTAAACGTAGCATCAGAAACATCCATGCAATAACGACTTATTTTTGGTTGAAGATACATTTAGTTTACAATAACGACTTTATTAGGGTAAACAAGTGGCAGTAACTCAGGGTTACTGATAAATCTATCGCCCAGAATACTGTGAGTTTTCATTATTTCCGTGGAAACAATTTCCATGCAGTCTTACCTTCTCACCGTCGTCGCCAGGTGGACCTTGGGGTCCGTCTGGACCTGGTTTGCCCTAAAACATCGAATACAGAAAATCTATAAAAAGGGAGTACTGAGATGGATCAATGAAAGAAGAATATAGTGCAGTTTTCGTATGACTGTGAAAATCTTCGTGCCGTAAGCGTGACGTGCCGTGACCGTGATACTTTCTAGAATTTTAATTAGCTAATTTTTTCACGCGCAATATGATTGGTCTAAAAGTGCCGTGATCTTGGCGTGACCGTGTCCGCGCCGTGTTTATGCCGTGTTTCGTGTTGGTATTTGATTGGATGGAGAGTAAATTCTCGTGCAATGTGATTTGTCTGGCGTATCCCTTGCTGTGTCACGACCGTGTTCGTGCCGTGAACTTTTCGCAGTCATACGAAAACTGCACTATACAAGTGTACACTAGACATGTTACTGTATTGACTTGTTTTACCGGTTTTCCTGGTTTTCCAGAGGGACCGGGATCACCACGTGGGCCTTCTTCACCCTGACCAAGAATCAATAATAGATAATAGTTAATAGCTAGTAAAAAATATAGATAGTCAAAGAAAGTCCCTTTCCATTGCGACTACAACACTAATTACAACGACATCGCAAACATCAAAAACGAAACAGCAATATCATGATCATGTATTATTATCATCATCAATACCATTTATCATCATCATCTTCTTAATCATTAATATCTTGATCATAATCTTTATCACCATCATCATCATCACCATCATAGTAATCTTTATCAACATAATCATCCTCATCAACATCCCTATCATCATTATCATCATCATCGCGTCATTACTATCATCATCATTATAATCTTTATCATCATCATCATCATCGCCATCATCATTATCACCATCACCATCATCACTATCATCACTATCATCACCATCATCATCAACATTATATATACAGTCAATTCAAAAAACGTTGTCGTCGACC